TACCATCTGTTTGAAATTGATGTGTGTGTGTTTATATAAAGAACAGCATATTATTTGGATGTAAAATAATTGCCATTACTGCTTTGTAAGGCTGTTGCCTACCTTTGGGAACCAGGAAAAAGACTAGTACAAAGTGAATCCAGCAAAACTTTTTATTGCCTACCTGGAATGGGTGACAATAGTGACATTGTTTGTCTCTCAAAATGGTATCGGTGCACTATTTGTCGGTACTCGCCGATACCGATACCACCATTTTAGTGCTGGATCGGGACTAATGGAACTAAGAGGCAGTCAAAGAAAAACCTTGGAATTTGGAGCTGACTGAGCAGCTGATAGAGAAGCCATCCCCTGAGGACCCAGTGAGGTATATGTTGTTCCTAACATTTGGGGTAGGGGTGTAAATAATAATCGTTTTGTATCAATACATCGATCCAACAGCTGACGATCCGATGCATCGATACGTCCGCAAGAGTATCGATTCATGTTATTTTTTTTTCTGTGGTCTATTTTTATCCATTTGCTCCTGAGCGCAATTCTCCCTCCAGTGCTGCGGTGGCGCTAAACCTATTTTTCCCTCCTACCTCGCTTCCTGGTTATACTCTTAAAGCAGTGTGTTGCAGTAAGCTTGACACAGACATTTGTTTATTTATGCTCAATATTGAAGTCTGGTCTGTGCTAAACGCTGTGGGTCTAGATACGGCCGAGGCGGTGAGGAAGTGGGGGCGAGTTTAGTCCGAAGACGGAGGGACATGAGGTCCAAAAAGAGCGGAGATCCAGGTGGAAAAGGCTCCCAGCGTTCTCACGCACCTCGCTCTTCTAGCGGACCAAACTTCGCGAATTGTTTTCCGCAATTCGGGTCATAAAAACAAAACAAGCTGGCGTCCTGTCTGCGGTACTGTGTGCGGTCAGTTACAATTTAGGAGGGGTGCAGCGAAATGTCTGCGGAGGGGGCGGGGACGTCTGGAGACAAGGAATTGCATTGCACTCATTGCACTTATTTTGTGCAATATTTTTGATGCAAGGCCTTCAGAATCTATAACGCAGGGGTATTATTATTTTTCAGGGAATGAGGTTTAAATAGGAATAGGTGGAGTAAAACTTTTCTACTTCTGTTATTTGCTGTTGTTTCTCAAATAAAATGCATAACGATATTACAGCCTTCATTGCTTTATTTCAAATTTGAAACATTGTCTAGCCTGTAAGGTTAAAAAAAATAAATAAATAAAAGAACTTATTAATCGAATCGAATCATATTGTGGTGTATTCTTGAGTATCAAAAATAATCAAATCGTTGGGTAAGGAAATCGATACTGAATCGAATCGCCATGATGCGTGTGATTTACACCCCTAATTTGGGGCATTAGTCTTTACTCTCCATAAGCTCCCGATCTGAATACCTCAGCTACTATCCCTTCACCTTTTGCAGTGTCAACAATAAAAACTCTATCCAGGGTAGGAAAGGAGCTCTGGTGGTGACTTCACAAGTTGTAATAGTGGTGCCTGAAAATTTGGTTGATTAATTATGGTAACATGGGTGTTGAAATAAGCCTGTCGAGTTTCTGCAAAGCCCTTCTTTTGACTACATGTGCAAAGATGCAGGTCTTTTTTCACTGTTTGATCAACATAAGGTTGACTTTCAATGGTATACGGAACATAATAGACAGCTTATTGGGAAGGAGGAGCTGTCCTAAATAAGGTGAAGTAGAACAGATGTCAGAGCAGGAACTGACTGACGTGTGCTTAGAGATAAAAGGCTGGACAGGAGAGCAGCTGGTTGAGCATGGCTAGGAAATCCACCTGCAGTGCAGGGAAGATAGTTTTTTACACTAAAGTATATCTGCTTTTTAAACAAATCTCAATAAACACAGAAGACATATAATATCTAAATTGTAGCTTCTTCCATAACCCCCTGAATCATGGCTATCCCTGTTGTTCACTCACAGCCAAAAGGTTTAGAAATATTTTGAAGATATTTTAGTCAACTTCATGGTTTCAGACAGGATCTGTTAAGCAATTTCTTAAATCTACAGCCCAGGCAGTATGAGACCTGAGTGCCGTCATTGAACAGAAAACACTTAAATAAAAAAATAAAAATTAACAATAAGTTTTAGATTTTTTTTTCCATTCGGACTAACTTATGTCCCTCTCGCAAAAAAAATTCCTGTCAATGTTGTTCTTTTAAGCCTGCTGAAAAAAATCACAAGAAATTTAATCAGAGCTTTTTTGCAAAAGAAAGCTGAGTACCACCAAAATAAACACATCATCAAATCTGTTCAAAGGAACAGCTATAAAACAACTAAATGTTCGGTGAACAGTTAAAAAGGAAAACAGTGGGGAAGTTACACTCTAACTGAATTTAGTTACCCTTTACCTATAAAGATATTTTCTTAACTAAAACGAAAAATGATTAATGAAGTTAAGGCAGCAATTCAGACATCCTTTAAATGTTTAAGTATTTCAAACAGATGCTTATTGGGAGATTTGTGTTTGAAATCTGACAAAATATTACTAAAACCTGTTGTTTTTTACTCCTTGGCCTAATCGGGCTCCAACATCATGAGAGTTTAAAAATCCATGCAAACGTTTACACAGTCCATTATCCTGAAGCCCCATATTTAACTTGAAATCTATCACATGACAACTACACCAGATGCTTTTAACTCCAGTTTCACTGTGACTTAAAAGTAGATAAGTGGAAAATGTGAGTGTTGAAGCCTTGCTGATGACTGATAATGAGAAGGCCCTGGGGTCATTGTTACATGAGCAGAAAGGCTTTACACATGCATGCAACTGCAACCAGCCAATGCACAGGGGAAACCCCTGCTCTTAGTAGATTTTTTGCTCATTATAGAAGAGCAAAAAAAAAATCTAAAGAGGCAAAGCAAAAAAGAAGGCAACCCACATAATCCTTGGTGAAGATGAGATTGTATCTGTCAAACACAATTATTGAAGGCTAATTCTTTTGCATGCAGGAGACCTTTAGCTAGCAATGCATACAGAGGTAGACTGTAAGCACTTTACTAAAAAAGTGACAATTTGGAATTTTGGAATGTGCAGCTTTGGTACGCCCTAATTTCCCCCCGAAAACACAAATGTTCAAAATTTCACAAGCAGCAGATGCTGGAGTTCGAAAAATTTTACTTTTGCTGCTCAACGCGCCACATCAACCAGAGAAGCTTATCTACAAGGTGGCAGGGAGACAGACAGCGCTCCTGATGCAGAGCGTAATGATCATTCCCCTAAAACCTCCTATTAACGCCTAAATTAACTTAAATTGTCAAAACACGCTGGCAAAATATGTTAGCTTTTATTATTCTGTTGCTTTCCATTTGTACTATATACCTGAAAAACGCTAACATCTACTTTTAGTCGTCATGAATAGCAGGGGAAAAACCCCAAGAGGCAACCACTCAGGGCATGCTTCCAGTGTATGGGAGTCTGCGCAGCTCTGGCAGCGAAATTATTACCCCATTTACACTACCCTTGAAAAACCGATCCATGCCGAGACCGGTCCGAGCTCGGATCAGTTAACCAGTCCAAGCTTGGTTCTGACGACCATTTACACATCACACTATCTCAGTTCCTCGACTCCTCGCCTCCTAGTGACAATCTGTGGTATTACTGCCAGTATTGCTGGAGGAAATCAAGCAGTTGGTGGCAGTAATGGACCAAAAGTTGTTTGCCAACCACCATAAAACACAAGAAGAAGAAGACGAAGAAGGAGGGAATCAAGAAAATCAAAATGGCGGCGCCCCTTACTTTCAGAAAGTTTTGCTTGATTATTATAGCAGTACTTTGGTGTTTGCGGAGGGTCAGGCGAAGACGGCAACCTTTGATTTATTTACTTTAAAGTAAATTTATAGTTATAGTTGTTCTTCTTCTGTTTTGTGTTGGTTGGCAAGCAACTTCCGGAGGAGTATTACCGCCAACTACTGGAATGGAGTGTGAATCGGGATGTGCAGCCAGACGGAGATGACGCGTTCTGCTCATGCGCTCTTGTTATCAGAGAACCGAGCCAGGGAAAACCGAGCAGAGCCCACCTCTGGAACTGGTCTGCAGTTAGCGCGGTCCGGTTGTGTCTACCTCAGTTCAGTTCAGTTTGCTTTCCATTTACACACGATAAGTTATCTCAGTTACTGAGCTCGGACCGGTATTGGCACAGTTTTTCAAGGGTAGTATAAATGGGGTAAATATTTTGAGGCAGGATTGTAATCTTGATGAACTGACTGCACAGACAATGTTTTAAGTTGGAGTTTCTTGCATAAAAATATTTTAAAACAACTTTTTACCCACTTATCACAGCAAATATAGCAAAGCCACTCTCTGCCATTGAATACAGGAGCAACACAAGCACAAGATGCATCTGTACACACTTTATTGGACGCGCTTCAGGAGCATCAAAGACGCTCTTGAGGCACATCCGACCGTAATGTGTACAAATATCAAAACTGAAGCAGAAGGCACTTTTTTGATGCTGAAAGCTTGTGTGGTGGGAAAGAATTATTACACTTTCTGATTGCTTGAATTAACCTATAAAACATATAATATTTTACCTAAAAATTATCTCATGTCTTCCTTATGAAATTTCCACCACTAGTCAAGCACACATACTTCCCATAGTCAGGACAAAATTAGTGTTGCAACAAAACAAAACAAAAGTTAGCTGCATTCCACTTCAATATGCAGGAAATAGCATTTCAAAAAGTCTACATTTCAAAATTCTCCAGGGGAGGGTACCCCTGGACCCCCCTAAGCCGTGCAAAGCCTAAAGATGTGATACACCAAGGTGTACACCCTATGAAACTTTCCTAGCTAAAAGCCTTGCATTCAGTTTTTTATTTATGAGTAAAGTAATTAGCCTTTTTTTGTACAGCAAGAAACCAATCATGTTTGTTTTATATTTTTGTATATTCTATAAAAAAAGCTTAGAAATAAATAACTGATCAGTCAGTCTGCTTTGGTTCAGAGGTGAATAAGCTGACTATTTTTACAGTACTCACAGGAAGCAGCTGCTTGCATTTCCTGCTAGGGCGGCCGACTCTTCTCTTATTTTGGGGGCTCGCTGGCAGCCGCTCCTCCGGTCTGTCCTGATCCGCTCCGTCTTGGCCCTGGGCACACAGAAAAAGAGCCCACATCAAACACCAAGAAGTGACTTTATATATTTAAAACTCCAAACATTTAGGACATCATAGAGCCTTCATTAAAACAAAACTTTAACATCCGAACTCTCTCCAAAGCAGTCAAAACGAGTCTCAAATATTTCATGACTGGACAAAGAATAAAACAGTATGAAAAAAATGAATTATACATTTATAGACTAAAAATCCATGTGTATTTAGATTGAAAAGCATATATTTTCCATGAAAACCCAAAGAAATACATCAAACTCAGCATCATCATCACAATTATCTACAGGGCAGGGCTTGAGAGTGAGTTGATGTATATAAGTTTGATACTGTACTTCAGTAACAATATGGCAGACAAGGCCCAGCAAATGACAGTGAGAGGAGCTGAAACTGCAATTAGTTCCCAAACTTTTCAGTCCCAGAAAATCTTTGGAATCCTTACGTTTTGTAAACCTATTAAACAGTCTCCATCAGCCATAAAATGCTGCAATGTCAGAAGGAGATGACTGCCAGAGTTTATGCTTTATGTTGGGAAATAATGAAGTGCTGTCGTGTTGCGCACAAACAAGCCAGAATTGACCTTTCAGCTGCTTTAACTCATTTAACAGATCCTTTAAAGTCTTCTCACTGGACTAAGTCTGAGAGAAACAGTCTCTCTTTCTGCACATATTCACCAAGTGAATGTTTGTATGACCGTAGCGGTTATCCTCAAAAAGTCTGAAGTTACATCTGCAACATATTCTCATTATCAGTTGGTATGAAATTGTACGAAAAGTTATGCACAGTATTTCGTACGTTTTAGACGTTTTTCCTCGAAAATACAGATCAGTGCGCATGCACAGCCAGACAGACGAAAAAAGCAGATCCGCGGACGGACGTAAAACTGGGAAAAACAGTGCAATAATCACTTCTTCAGGTCTCTAACTAGGTTGCTTGCTGTTTTGTATCTTAGGGTTAGGGTTAATTGTACATTAAATTCTATGTTATTTAATGGTGCGTAAGATGCGCATGCGCAAGGATATCTTGTCTCGAGGCAAGACGTAAAAATACAACGAAATGCGGCGAAAAACTAAAACGTACGAAATTACGGTGCATAACTTTTCGCACGATTTCATATGAACTAATAATGAGAATACACTGGAAGTTATGTTATCTCAAAAGTGTTATGTTCAATTAAAAAAGGCCATTGCTAGTTAACTCCATATGATTAAAAGAGGGGGTTCAAGGTCTGGGAGCCTGGTGCAATACAGCTTTACACTAAGAAGAGAAAAGAAGTCACCTTCGACTCCTGACCACTACCAGGATGCCAACTTCTAGTTGCTTTAATGACATACTTGGTGGGCTTGGGTTGAACTTTGAACACCACCCACATTATCGTAAAGGCCCAGTGGTATATATTACCTCTAAGACAATAGGGAGAGACAAACTTCTCCCACCTGTGATGAAAAGCTTTTTACTGTCCACAATAGAGAGTATATTGACCTATGGAAATACAGTGTGGTATGCCAGCTGAGAGGAACCAGCTTAATCGCTCTTTGGCTCCCCACTCCCATGCCTAGGGGAGATCTATTCAAGCCATCTTATCTGATAAGCCTCACAGGTCTAGGATGATCCAGCCCACCCAGGACACTCTTTTCACACGCCTTCCCTCTAGCGTGAGTCATGCAGACTTAAAACAGCCTTTCCCCACTATAGCTGTGAAAAGACCCTGTAAAAACACACATACATGCTCAAAAACACTTCTACTTCCCAATCCAACGCTGACAGCTACTGAATTCTTTCTCACTAATGTGAACACAGACTGTTATTTTTTTCTTGTGTCCTATCTGGGTAGTACTTAATAGTTATTATTATTATTAATTATTAATTATTAATTATTTTAATCCCAAGGACAAGAGTAATATATTTAATTTCACAAGTGGAGCATTAGAGATTTGATTTTAATGCACCAAGATGTAAGTATATGTAAGTTAAATACTATTAATCATTATCTCAGATCTAATGGACATGTTGATAAAAACAAAAAGAAAAAAGGAAAAAAAGTAGAGGTGTGAGACAAAAAGTTAAAAGTGAGAGAAGGAAATAACAATCAGGCAGAAAAAAAAAGAATAAAGGGAGGATAGATTATTGATGTTTACACTGCTGAAAGCAGATTCGGTAAAACAACTTTTAATTATATGATGTAAAATGACAATAAAGCCTCTTCTTTATGGTTATTTGAAACTCAGGGGGTTTTAGAAGACAAAGAATACAGACAAAAAACACAGAACCAATGAACCAGGAGGATTAGAAGAGAAGTTAGAGCGGCATTGTGTAACTTTTAGCCACGAGGGGCGCTATATCTGTAACATTTAGACTGAAAAGTCATTGTGTTACTTGCAAAGACAAGGCCACATTCATCCCCCTTGAATAAATCCTACATCAGAGAACCAAAAAAATATATTAAAAAAATCTGACCAGGAAGGTTTGATAGACTGAAAGAAATGTGGAGTAACATTCACTTAGAAAAAGATAGGTAGCCTGTCCACATTGAAATTCTTTGTAAATTTCTCAATAAAATCTAAGTGTATCTTAGTACTCAGAAGAGTTGATTTATCAAACAAACGCAAGTAAATTGCACTACCAAATTTTTCTGATCAGCAAAAGATGTACTTTTGTTTTGCTAGTAGATTGTACACACACAAGGAGAATCTAGAGAAGCCAAATAACCTAGAGGTTATGTTTATGAACTGTGGGAGGAAACTGGAGTACATGGAGAGAACCCGAGTATGCTTGGGGAGTACATCCAAACTCCATGGAGAAAGACCCTGGATTAGGGAACGAATCCAGAACCTTCTTGCTGCAAGGCAGCAGTGCTACAAACTGTACCGGCGTGCAGCCAACAAGGAAAAAATGTTTTCTATTTCTGACCTAAATATGGTCAGGCAAGAAAACAAACATCACGTTTACTCTTAATATCCATATATATCCATTACTTGCATCTGTTGAGTTGGGAACATATTTAAACAGTTTTTTAAACACTATTTTATAAGATTAATTAAATTTTGAAGTAAAGGCACTTACATTGCAATTTGCAGTAAATTTTACATAAAAACCAAGGTATTTACAGGACCAAAAATTCCTTTTTTTCAGTGTAACTATTTCACTGCTAAAAACAACCATAATTTTCTTTCTATTATAGCAATATCTCTATTAGTTGTACATGGCAATGATTTGATTAATCTGAATTGCTTCAAGCAGAAAGGAGGTATTTTATTAGACCTGTAACAAGAGCATATATATGAAATATAATTAGATAAGGTTCTTAAAACGTGTAATTAGCTTGACGAAAAACTGACAGCTCAATCTACTTTTGGACTGGACTAATGCCAAATACTTGGACACAATGTTTTGAAAGGAGTCTAATTTCAGAGTCCTTAGCAGGTCACTGAGTAACAACTCACTAAGCTTGATTTTAAAAACAATTCAATAAAAAAAAAAAGAATATGTTTTGACAAGATCACTTTCTATTGTGGATAAACTAGTTTGCTTGGAAGGGTTTTCAGATGCAATTTCCAGTGAACACTAGTGATACATACAAGGTGTAACCTGTGATGTTTTATGTTTTGGCACTTTTGAAACCATAAGCATTCAGAAATCTATGTCAGCCTTAGATAATCAGTAAGGAACTTTGAGACTCAGCCGTTATTAACTGGATATACAGTAGATTTTAAAAAATCAGCCAAATAGCCAAATAAAAAGAAACATGTTAGGAATCCAGTCTGTGTGGGTTGTGTTTTTGTGTTTTCGCCCTCCACCACCAGGTGGCGCCCTGTTCTCGTTGGTCCTCCCACACACCTGTGGCTGGTTGGCTCATTACTGAGGACTCTTAACCTGCTGACTGCCACTACTTCGACGCCAGAGTGTTTGCCAGTTTTGGGTACTCTAGCTAAGCTGAGTTTAGCTGAGTCTAACTGAGTCTTTGTTTCTCTGAGTCTAACGTGATTTTTGTCGTTTGCCTTTCGGCAGGAAGTCATCCTGCAAACTGGATGTTTGGCCTTCTCCCCCTGGAAGGATGGTTGAGCTTCACACTTAGCAGGGGATCAATCTCTACACCTCCCGTTCAAGTTCTTGAGGAAATCTATGTGGCAGTCCGCTCCATTGCTCCTCAGGAACCAACCAAACCAAGACCTGTCTGGCCTCTAACGAGCCCCTCTATCTCTGGAAAGACCCACACTGACTGGATTCTGGGAAGAAACCTTTATCTGCAATCGTGAGTCCCGTTTATCTCTGTTTTTTTTGCAAGACGTGGTTCAAAGTTCCCACGGACCCTGAACTAATCTCTGTGAACTTCCCTTCTCACTTCAAGTTCCGGTTCACCAGCTCTCTGAGTTCCCCTGAATCCAACCCTTTTGAACTCCTCAATACACCTGTTAAACATTTTCTCTGGTTTCCCTGAGTGGTTTTCTGCATGTGGGTCAGATCTCTTAATAATGTAATGACAAAACAAAGACAATAGTGCAGAAATAATAATCATTTAGGTTTTAAATGTTTTTTCAAAAGTTTGAAAATAAACAGAAAAAAAACTTAATAATTGAGGGGGAAAGGAGGGACATGTTCTGGCATGATGATGAAGAAGACTAAGTTAGGACCCGCAAGGCTATATGCCACTGCCAACTCTCCATAACTTGCAAAATAATCCAGTTGGAGGTTAGTTTGAAAAAAATGAAGCTGTGCTTTATAGTTAGTCTTTGCAATGATGTAGATTCATGGGATTGGATTTTCTTGGTAGTAGCAAATACTCATAAACGGGCTGTGAGTTTTCATTTTTCAGCCAAACCTGTTTGTACTGTTTGCTATAAAGCCTCCCATTAGGACTTTGCTAAAAACCCCACAGTCACCTAACTAATAGTAGAAACTAAGTATCTCCACATTTAGCAACACAGGCAGCAAAGCCTTCTTCTCAATGAATGTAAAACTTGTTTTCTTTAACAAACTGATTT